GGGGGGGGGTCCAGACAGCCGGACCGCGCGGCGAGGGCGTTGTTTGCCCGCCGGTCTGGCTCCCCTTATCGCCCCCGCCTCGGTCCCGGCTCAGCTCGCCGATGACTTCCCCTGCTTCTCAACCTTCTCCTCCGGTTTCTTGACGAAGATGGCCTCGATCTCGCCCAACGATCGGCCGAGCGTCTCGGGCAGGCAGAAGAACACGAAGACCGTGGCGACGCACGCCATGCCGCCGAACAGGTAGAAGACGTTGCGCGCGCCGATGGTGGCCATCGTGTAGGGGAAGCTCTTGACCACGCCGAACATGAAGAGGTAGGCGAGCGAGACGAGCAACCCGCTGCCCATGCCGCGGCTCGCCAGCGGCAGCAGCTCGCTCACCAGCGTCCACGGCATCACCAGGTACCTGAGCAAGAGGGGGGTCAGCGACAGGGCAGGCCCAGTGGGGCAAGAGGTTCACTCCTCGACCACTCACCCGATGGAGCTGAACAGGACGAACAGCACGACAAAGGCCAGAGGTGGCCAGCTCGCCTCGAAAACCTCCCCGGAGCTCAGCACTGAGCGGGCCGTCGTGGTGCCGTTGACGGCCTCCGAGACGTTCCTGGCTAGGATAGGAGCGCCGTGCGCCGTGACGAGGGTGGCGCCGGCGGCCACGGAGCACGCCGCCATGCCCAGCCCCGACACGATGAGCATGGGCCGCCGGCCGAAGCGGTGCGACAGCAGGGCGGTGACCAGACTCATGATGAAGCGGACCACGCTCATGATCACCATCACGCCGAACTCGTCCAGGCTCTGAACACCCCAAACCCCACGGTTATGGCGAGTTTTAGCTAACCGACGCGTACCTCACTTGGCTGCTCTTCACTCACCGTGCCCACGCGGCTGCCCATCTCTGCGAACAGCGGCACGGCGTAGAAGATGATGACGTAGGTGCCCGACAGCTGCTGCAGGATGAAGAGCACGCTGAGGATCAGCATGGGCTTGGCCGTGGCGGGCTCCAGGAAGGCGGCGACCCCGCGCAGCCTCCGGTGCGGGAGCAGGCGCTCGCCCTCGGCGTCGGCCTGGGGGTCCTTGCGAGCGGCGGCCGAGGAGCTGGCGACGAGCCGGTCCCAGCTCGCCTCCATCAGGCGCTCGTCCTTGTTGAGGCGGTGCAGCGCCTGGCGCGCCAGCGCGGTGCGCCGCTCCAGCTGCTGGCCGGGGGCCATGCTGAGCAGCCAGTGGGGGCTCTCGGGCGCAAGCAGCACCACGGCCACCCCGGACGCGGCCGCCACGCCGGCGAACACGACCCCCATCCACGACCAGGGCATGCCCGCGCCCATGCAGGCCGTGAGCAGGATGCCGGCCGCCACGAACACGCTGTTGAGGCAGAGGAGCGCGGGCCGCAGCGAGGGGTGCGCCACCTCCGACACGTACACGCCGGCCGCCGTGGAGAGCCCCGCCCCGATGCCCGCCAGCGCGCGCGACACGTACACCAGCCCCACCCCCGGGAACACCCCCGCGGCCAGGGGCAGCAGCAGCCACGCCAGCACCAGCGGCGCGGCCGCGGCCAGGCAGGCCGCGCGCCTCCCGGCCCAGTCCATGATTGGCCCCGCCGCCAACGAGCCCATGGGCGTGGTCACGGCCACCACCGCGGCTGCAAGCAGAAAGAGGCCGTCATCCCCGTGGCGGAGGACGTGGAGCCCGGGGGGAACGGGCCGACCGCGCCCAGTACGCACCGATCCAGGACGCCGAGTCGCGGTCAATCTTAAAGGGGCCGTCGGCCGCCTCCAGCTGGGGGATCATGATGGCGGGGAAGGCCATGTTGACGCCGGCGTGCAGCGTGAGGGAGAGCGCGGCCACGGAGGCGACGACCTGGCGAACGACAGATTAAAGAAAGCCCAGCATAAACACGTGGCACTCGTAAGTATACACAGGGCGTGCGTGTGATTGCCAACCTGGGGAACTGCGGCCCTCCAGGAGATTCCAGTTGCGGCGGGCGGCCTGGAGTAGCTGGTGGGGCTCTTCGGCATGATGACGGCGATGGCTCCACCCGCCCCGTCCAGAGACGTCTTTTCGTCCATGATCGCTGTGTGACATGACAAAGAGACGGGGATACAGAGGAGCCGCGGCATGGAAGGAGGGGCTCTCGCGGAGCTCGCGCCCCGAGTCGCGCCCCACCGCCTGCGCAGGTAGGCAGTCTCGGCCGGCGGTGTGCGGGCGCGCGCGTTGGGTCGCCTACCTCGGCATTGGCAGGGGCGAGAGACACGGGCCGGCGAGAGGCCGGGTGGGCCCGGGGCCCGCGGGTGGGCCGCTAGAAATAGCCGAATGAAGGTGCGCGGCGCGCGGAGTTGGGTGACATGGTGCTGTGCGGGGAGAGGCTTTGGGTTGGAAGACTGCCACGTTAAGGGCAGCGCCCCATACGAAGATTACGGCGGAATCCCTCGCGGTACAGTTTGCGCACGCGCGCCGTGCGCCAGTATGATCCCGAGCGAATCCTCATCCTCATACCAAACGGGCGGTGGAAGAGCGACGCGGGCAAGCTCAATCCCGGGCGCCGTATGCAGCCCCACGGGTCCCCGCCGTTCCTCCGCCACGGGGTGAGGCCTATCTGTCCCAGGGCCTATCTGAGATAATGTCGGACGGGTGTAGCCTAGGCGGCCGCGCTAGGCCCCGCCCGGCACACGTGCTGCATAAGAATCAGGAGACAGCTTGACTAACAAATGTCCTCCGCACTACTTACCGTGACCCCGTCTCTATTCTTCAAAACTGCCCGCCCTCCACTGTTGCTTTTCGCGCTTCATTTGGGCCACGTCCTGGCTCGCTCTAGCCGCGGATCATCTTTTTGCGAGATAAGGCCTTGCAAGCGAGTGGTGGGGCCGTATTACAAAAATCGACCGGGCGTCTTCGTACAGTCCACTGAGCTGAGAGACAGGGCGCGGGCTTGGGGTCCAGGAGGACACTCAATAAAACAGCGCACGACTCACGGTCAAGCGACCGCCGCCGACGCCACGCCACGGCGCCCCCAAGCCGCTGCCGGTTGAGTATAGCGTAACCATAACTCGAACCTGAAGCGTACCACGTTGTAATAATACCCCTGTTTAGGGTGTTGCAGTCTTTCTACTGATAACGCACAGTCTTTGTCGCGGCGTGGCAAGGTCTGTGGTAAATACTGCACCGTGCGTGCAAGGCCGGCGCCCCCACCGCGGCGCGAGGTGAGGCTGGGTGAGGCTGAGCGAAGCTGCGCTCTGCGCTGTCCAAGATCGACAAAAATAATGTAAAGTCCTGCGGGCTCTTGATACCGTCTGGGCGTCGTCTCGCCACCGAAGGCATTGACCACACCACTGTATCGCTGATAAGCAAGCCCCCCCCCCCCCACTTTCCCCCCCGATGACAGAGTGACCACGGCAGGCTCGCTGAGCGATGCTCCTGCAGTCGCTCCTGCCAGGTCGGCCCTCCGACAAACTGACGGTCATGGGTGGCGGTGGCGGCGGCATTAGTAAATCGCGCGGGCTGAAGGTCTGCGAGCTAGACGCCGCCCGTCCGACGGATTCACTCCGAGCGTTGTCTTGTTTTAGCGGCGGCACAAGCTGTTGAAGCTCAAGGTGGTGGCGGCAGCGGGGGGCCCCGCGGTCGGGGAAGTCCGCCCGCGCGTCCGCGTCGCGAGGAAGCGAAGGTCTTCGCGCCATGCTCCAGTAGGATACCGTATACGAGCCGTAAGACGGGCCAATTGAAACGTGCCGGGCTTCCCTGAGTCCAGGAGCAACATAACCGAAAGAAACAACACAGCACGAACCTGTCGCGGTGGCTGGTTCAGGCCGGCGTCGGGCCGGCGCCGGGGCTGGCGACGTCTGGGTGGACTCGGTGGACAGCGGCGACGGGCACCTCGCCTTCGGCCGGTGCTTCCGCGTTGTTGTTCGCCTCGAGTCGCATGGGGTGATACGCGGCGCTCCCGGCGCTGGCCACTGACTACGAGCGTCTTCAGGGGCGTCTCCCGAGCTCAGCTGCTTGTCAACAGCCCGCCCCGCCACTCCTCCCAATGCTGCAGAGCAGAGCGCTCCCTCCCGCGCGTCGTCTGCTCGCGGCCAGCTGCGGCCCGCCCAGAGGCCCACCCAGGCTGGCGCCCGGCCCGATGTCGTCTAGCCCGTCTGGTCTCGCGGACAGCCCGCGAGTACTTTTCCGGTGCCGCAACACCCAGATGTGTCGGCGGGCGGCATCACTTCTTAACCGCGCCGGCAACAAGCCGTATGGCGCGGACTCCCGCGGGCTCGCGGCCAGGGTGGGCACACTAGGCACACTGGTGCAAAAGCAAAAGTGCAGCCCTGACTTTAGTCCCGCGTAAATTCAAACCACCCGCGAGATCGCTCAAAAGTCGTCTGTAACTTCTGTGAGAACCACGTGAAAGAAGGGCGCCCACCAGACATGCAATGTCAGAAAAAACAGGAGGGGCTCTTGGCATTTAATTTGCACACAAGTTTATTTTTGATGCTAAAACAGCAACTAAGCTAAATTTGCAATGAATGTTTTGTTACAAGGTTGAATACTTGGGTGGGTTGGGTTCAGTCTCATTTCCAGATAAACTAAGCTAAATAGAAGAACGAGAGATAACAAAAACAAAAATACATTGGATTTAAAAACATCTTGCGACATCCGAATAAAAGGCGACGCTTTAAAATAACATACATAACAAATATATGCAATAGCACATAGCAAGAAACATTTCATAAAATATTCCATAAGTTGAAACAATAGAACTACTCGCACAAACAGCTGTTGCTGAAAATAGCAACTAAAATGGAAGACAAGGGATGGAAGATCAGTACCAAATTCAAATTATTTGGAGACCATCAAGCGGTACTTTTCATATGTTAAAGTTATTGTCAAAGCACAAGACATATATAGGAACACACAAGTTCAGTACACCGAATGAACACAAGTAGCAAGGCAAGTCTGTGGTGGAATCGCATCCACAACACTGTGAAAATACCATGACATATTCATATAATATATAGCAAGCAATAGTTAATGAAAATACTTTTCCAATTAAAGTCAGTTCAGGTCTTTACATACTTGAAAATGATATAGGGAATGATAAGGAAGTGGGAAAGTGGTTAACAAGTATCAACTAATGCATGGAAAACTTTCCATACATTCACAAAACATGTAAATGTTGGTCCAACATTACAATAAGTACTGAAATAAAACATTTATCAAATGGTCTGAACATCTTTGCTACAGACTCAGGTCCTTAGGTTGGAAAAACAACAAATAGAAAACAAACAAAACTTAACACTGGCACTTACTTTTGAATCCTCAATATAAATGCTTTTGTACAATGCTGCCTTGGCTCCTAACAATGTAGGTAGCAAAAAGAAAAAGTAACAAAAAAACAAAAAATTAAGTAGAGAGTTATTGGTATAGGGTGACATTTTCACTAACTACATTTTGTTCAAATTTTCCTTCTTTCATGGAATGATAGGTTGACTCAATAGAGTATTGTGGACTTATGTTTCATACAAATATCACCAGGTATTTGTGCTTACCAAGCTGAGCAGAGACGCACAACATATACTAAAAAACAAACATGTTACATGACATGTATCTCAGGCTACCTAAACCCCTAATACCTACAATACTACTAGATGCTACAAGCTTTCTTCATTTCTGAATTCACAACCTCACTGCATGAATCACATTTATTGAGGCAGGACATCTATTTTATGGGCACTGGAAATTGAAGTATTATCTCCAATTTGATCCAACTCAACATTCGTAGTCTGCAAAATAAAAATCAGAGATATAGAATTGAAATTCTATTCAGTTTGTTGATAAATTGTCACAGGTAAAAATGTACCTTCACAGAATTCTCATCCATCAGTGATTTTAAGTGGATTATTTGTTGCTTCTTCTTCAGACTGTTGGCTACAGGTGGAACAAAAAGGTTTGGGTCTAGTTCGTTGGACAGATTAACAGGATGCATATTCAGAACGTGGCTTGCCAATAAACTACCGAATATGCCGACAACCAGGCATACAATCAATCCTAACACACCAAGCCACATGTATGACAAACGGTACAAGTAGAAAATGTCGCTGTCACTGGAAAACAATCATATACAGGATAATTAATAAAAACCATCTAATGATGCCAAATGGGTGATACAATAAGGTGGTAAGTTACCTCGTCACAGCAGGAGGGCTTGGAGTTACGGAGCAGGTATTATTTAGATTGAGACAAGCATCCATGTACACAGGAAGTGCTTTTATAGCCGGCCTTGAAGTGGGAAATCCCAAAAATAGGGAAAAGGCGAGAGATGACAGAAAACCAGTTAAAGCACCCTAAAAAGAAAAGAATAAAAGTCACTTCTTAATGGGGAAAAAATGTAATAACTAAATGCTATACACATAAGTTTTGATCTAACTTACAGTCTGGTTAGCCAAGGGGAAAAACATCCCAAGAGAGAAGAGCCCCAAAATTGGTCCGCCAACAACATTGAAAATTGTCAGAGATGCTTGAAGGACACTACCAAGGTATTCAGCGATAAAAGCAAGTGCTATACAAATTAGTCCATAGATCACCGAAATCAGTTTAGCGCGGTAGGCACTACCTTTATCTGGCAAGTCTTTCTTCTTAAAGCATGTGTAAATAGGCTGTCCAAAAACAAATAGGGATTAGATAGCGTAATCAATACATCCACAATCAAAAATTTCAATTGCTTCCACAGAAGCCACTTAAAGCTACATACCTTGATATAATCTTCTAAAGTTACGGCTGCCAATGAGTTCACAGCAGCAGAGACTGTGCTTAGGGAAGCACTGAAAATTCCAGACACAAACAATCCTGACAGTCCTGGTATGTGGCCCATTGTATCAACTACATAATACGGCATAAGCTGAGAGAATCAAAATAATTATAATAAACACCATTGTAAAAAAAACAAAAACAAAATTTAGGAGTAAATAATTTGTTTACCTGATCATAGCTGCTGATCTGGCAAGATGAGCGAGGGTCACAGTGAGCATACTTTGAGTAAATTGCAATACCAGAGAAGGATGTTGAAAAACTAAGAAGCATGAGTATAGGCCAGTTTAACCACAGGGACTTCTGAGCTGTTTTTACATCCCTGTCAAAGTTAGGAGTAAAGTATGCCATATGGTGGAAGAAAACACTTAAATGTTTTTATTGAAAATAGGACCATTCGGAAAAACTTACTTGACAGCTAAATATCTTTGAACCTGTGCTTGGTTGACTGCATACAATGAAAGGAAAGTTACTCCTCCCCCAAATGTAAGACTCCACCATGTGTGTCGAACAGTAGGGTCGATATCAAAACTGCAAACAGGTAAAAGGTGTTATTGGGGTGAAAATAAAATTAATCTTTTCAGACTAATGAATACTGTTGCTCACTTTCCGAATTCAATACGACCGTTTTCTTCAGCAATTCGCCAAATTTCAGATAGACTTCCCTTTTCAACCCAAGCCGAGCCAATCACACTATAAATTGCAGCAAACATCAGGAGTGACTGAAAAATAAGGAGAAAAAAAGCATTGATTATTTTTTTGTTTGTGTACAGAGCTATCAAAATCTAACTTCATTTAAACTTAAATTACAGGTGAGACAAAACAAGTTTCTCAGAGCCAGACAAGCTGCAAGGCAAGATTCCTGATACCATTGGTTGCAGACCATGGTCTGACTGTTATGGAGTATCTAGTAATACTGACTATCTCCAAGCAGCATTCTATGAAACAAACAGCCAAATAAAATCTTGCTCTAAAATCTATCAGTCACTGAGAAACCCACCACATTTTTGTCTACTATATACTCTTATACTTGTTTTTTAGTTCTTACTTGGAATACATCTGTGATTAGGACTGCCTTGAGACCACCAATCGTTGAATAGAAAGTGCACACCAACCCAACAGACAATATCGCCCATACTTTCGACATTCCAGTGACAGCTTCTAATGTCAATGCTGGTGTGTAGAGAACAATGCCCATGTACAGGATCATTTGAAGGGAGAATGCAAAGGAGCCTGCAAGACGAGCTCCTTTTCCAAACCGCCTCTCCAAGTACTGATAAAGGAAACAAAAAAGAAAAGAGATAACATTATTTCCTTTTTCAAAAAATTTCAACAAAAAAGTTAAAT